ATATATATATATATATATAAATTTGCTTACACCTCCCGAGCGACGGACCATCGTAAGGAAGATGTGGGCGTGGTCAGACTTACAGAAGCTGCAGGGTATGAGCATTGGGTGAACACTTGGACTTCAGCCCATCGTTCTGTGGGTAGTCATCATTTTGTTATCCATAAGCAGGTCGTTCTGTTCATCACGGTTGACGTTCACATTGTTTCACGAAACATTGCCCCTATAATGCAAGTGTCAATGTCATGATCAATTTCGTCCCCGCTATTTTTTAGACTAACACATCCAAGGAGTCTAACATACATCCAGAGATTTTGTTGGTTCACCCTTGGCTTGCTCAAGATTAGCAGCACAGTACAAGAAAGGAAATCACCTTCAGTCTTGGTCAAGAAGTTAGCTACGCGTTGGACAATTCTTCATACTTAGCCAAATGCAGTCGGTAATCACTGCCTTGATCTTTTAATGTCTTTGGCGTGTCAAGGTGGTGGGTTGGCTGCCATAGTCATTCAGTGTTGGTATTAACGATGCAATCGCTAGTGCGGGCACTTACGTGTTCATGCGATGCGATTACATGTGCAGGTACAATAATTGCATAGTGCAAAACAATCTTTGGATGAATTTGACCCTTTTGTCCTGTACAGAAGTGGGTCTCTGCTTGAAGATGGTACTTTGAGAAGACCAGTTTACTGATAGTTTTCGTTTTTCATCAAGCACGGACCTTGGCTCTTTGTCTACGATTGAAGACTTTACTGTAAAAAACCCATGTGATGCGAAAATGCTTATACTGACTTAGATAGTAGAACGATAGGCTAGTCAGGTAACACTGTTGTTTTAAAACCTGTTGCAAAAGGGGTTGTAATGTTGAAAACACAGGTAAGATAACATATTTTGGCTGCTCATTGACTTTTGTATTCCTCTAGGTGGTATTGCTTATGGCGCTTGTTAGCCGCTGTTGCTGTTTCTTCCTTTTTTGATACCAGTATAGCGGCCGTAAATTCTCGCATAGTTCTTCTGAGTTTAGTTCATCGTTGGTCAAACTGGGAGTTGTCGGTTATTGTAAAGCCGCTTTAGAAATCTTATACCTAGCAAATGAGGACAGTGAAACAATCATGTATGTGAGAATTTCGCTGTGAATTGCTGGTATTCTACTGATCAGTTTTCTTTGTTGCAAGCATCGGTTAAAGGCAGACAAGTATGAAAGCACAACAGCCAAGGCCCCCCATGCAAACATACTGGTGTGAATATTCAAAGTCTTGTGGCTGGTAGCTTGATGCTTGTCAGAATATGAGCAGACACAGGACTCAACAGTTGATACATGTGCTTCATAGTGTTTAGTTGGTATTTTGTGTTTTGACTACCGATTGTGGAACACTGTGCCGAATACCCCGAGTCAATCACAGGAGTAACGTGCCCAGGAAGTTCAACTTAAGAATAGTATGAAAAGAGGAGGTACAGAGTGTTGATTGGGGCAGTCATACTGAAGTAGCCCGAACGGCAACTATAAGCACAGTAAGGGGGTTCATGGTAATGGTAGCAAGATCTGCAGCAACTGTAACATACTGTAACGACACAGCTACGTTTGGTGTGATGAATCATGCATGGGAGAATGTAGTAGTAGTTTGCATACGACTGGGAATGGAATGGTTTGTAGTCGCATGACGACTACAGTTCCAGCAAAAATACCAGCGCTAGTACCTACGGGTCACGAATTCGTAGGGACTGCTGCTATGGCAGTAATTTACTGTTTATCTAGCAGCTGCACCTGAAGAGCGCAGTGGTGTTAAGATTACACATGTTCACATGTGCATTGACACATGTATGCTGCCACTTGCTTGGGACTACGCTTATTGTGTATATTTGTGTATAGTGCATATGTCTGTATGGAGTATCGGTCACAAGTCAGTTCAAAAGGGGCAAGATTACAAATAAACATGTCCCTCTCTGTGTGTAAACACCATTCTACTGCAGGGCGCGCGGCGAAAACTGTAGAAACTCCAACGAATATAAGGGGATTCGCTGGATGAGAGATTGGGCGGAATCTCCTGTACCTGCGAAAGGTGAGCAGGACCCAATCCGCCAACAAAGTCGGAGCGTTTTCATTTTGCCCAAAATCAATGTTTGTTTTCAGCTTTCGTGCATGCATGGTTGCAACAGTCGGAGCAATCCCTCTATCCGCATGACCTTACTTTCGTCGTCGGTCGCTCGTCATCGCAAGTTCCCCTTGCTGAGCATGTGTGTGTGTGCGTGGTGTCGCAAAACGAGGATGACAGCTTCTTAAACCGCGTAACCACTACTCACCCATCATTCGAATCTGCCTGGCTTCAAGGATCAGAAATCAAACAATTCAAACTAGATGGCTGATGACTGATACTTCTGAGGAATCTGCTACCGTTTGTATTCATCTGTAAGGCTGAGTAATCCAGCTTACACATATGGATGGAGGCATGTTTTTGTTTTGAAACATATTGTACAAGCACAGTTATCTCCAAAAAGCCTGTGGAGCAAGCTTACATAAACCAATAGCTTCAGAATCCTAAGAGAAACAGTATAGATTCTTTGGTATAGGGTTTAGGATTTGGGGTTTTGGTATGGGGATTTCGGGCAAGAGCGCAGGCTGCGCATAACACCAAAGATGAAGGATAAGACCAACAGACCAAAATACAAAACCAAAGATCCAAAGCGAATGCCGGAAGTGTTCTGGTTTCTTGACTTTTGGTTTTGGTGCTACTGGGTTTTCTTGTATTGTACCAATTCCCGACAGCATGAGGAACACAAAATTTTTTTAAAAAAACATAAAACGCAAGTCACATCAGTTCCGGCATTCTCTTTGGATCTTTGTTTTTTGCTTTTCGATCTCAGGCTGGGGGGCTTGAAGCCATACCAACGCAGACCAACAAAACCACAAACATCAACGCAGTTCCGGCAGTCTCTGCTGATAAGGCCGGAAGCGCCGGTGGGAGCGGTGTTTCAATTGGGGTGGTGTATGTATATATATATATATATATATAGAGAGAGAGATATATATGCTTATAGAGAATGTAGATACCGATAGACAGATCAATAGATATGTAGGTTCATGACACGCCTCTGAGCTGAGATTGCGCCATCATTTGCCTTGACGTAGGGATTTCGCAGTCTTACCGAAGCTTCGGCACCCAGCAACTTCACGAGCATGGCTGCAAACAGCACAGTGCAGAAATTCGCACGAGGTGCATGTTGCAATCAATAAGAGTTCGTGCAGATGTGCCATGGAACTAGCAGAGGGCGAGCTCGCCAGGTTGCTGGAGGCCTTGTGGGGACTTCCGCTGGGGATGGGAAGTGCCGACATAAGATTATTCAGTAGTTCCGCGGCCTGCAGCAGGAACACTAAGTTCCACACGACCTGAGAAGACTGCAGAGGGAGTAAGCCCAGCAGAACGGATGCCAAGAGCTTGAGATTTTCGGATTGTATGCCTTTAGTAAGCTAGGGTCGGGAGCTCACCTCAGACCCTGCAGGAGACCCTGGCGAATTGCCTGGGTTACACAGCTCCTCGCGAGGTGTGGAGCATCAGATGGACACACTATGACAGACTGTCTGCAGTGCCCTCAGAATCGATTGACACAGGTTCTTCGCACGAGACGTGCCTCCCAAGCTGTGCTAGCACGTGTGGAAGAGTGCCTCCCCGGGCTTCCGACTCAGGCATTGGACCGAGACCTGTCAAATTTTAGTCTCTACTTTGACTTCTGTGTTTTGCTCGTTCGCTCGCTACATGACGATTAGGCAGGCAGTAAGTGAGGACGCACAGGGCGTGATAAGCCAGGCGACGGCACGACGCTGCTCCATCTGTCTGCCGGTTTGGGCATCACAGAGCTGACGCAGCGTGTGCTCGAACGCCGGTCAGATGTTTCGAGCCTTCACCGTCAATTTGGGACTCCGCTACACTTGGCAGCGGAAAGAGGCCGGCTGTGCGCGCATTGTGTCGGGGTCCTAGCCAACGAGACGTTTCTGACTCGACCCTGCAGGTCACGAAAATGTGGCCCGTTTGCTGTTGGCCGAGAAGGCCGATGCGCAGCAGGCTTTTGCAAAAACGGAAATCACAGCACTGCACGTGGCAGCGGCGCGTGGCCATGTACCGGTTCTGCATACTCTGATTGAAGCAGGGGCCGATGTTAACAAAGCAAATGCTGCGGGAGCGACCCCTTTGCACTGTGCTGTTGCCAAGGGGCATGTTGAGGCCATTACAGCTTTGCTCCAAAGCAACGCAGATACTAACAGTATCTGTCATGATGGCAAAAGCCCCTTGCATTTTGCGGCGTATCAGAGTCTCGTCGAGCCACTACAGGTTTTACTTGCGGCACATGCATCCGTCAACAATACGGATGCAGCTGGCTACACGCCACTAATCTTCGCCTCGCGCGAAGGACACAAAGAGGTTGTGGAATTCTTGCTGGACAGCATGGCGGACGCGAATATCTTGAGTTCAGACTCTGAGGGCCCTTTGCATGCAGCCGCAGATCGAGGCCACTCAGGCATTGTAGTGCTGCTTCTGTCGAGACAAGCGGACGTAGAAGCAAGAAACGGTGATGGCTTGACAGCATTGGACATGGTTGCAATCGACGATAATCCTGCCATCGCTGAGCTGTTGATCGGCAGCGGCGCCACGTCTCGATTTCTCTGAGTGAGCGAGGCACAGGCACAAGGCCCGTCCTTGACGACTTGATAGTGATTCTGGATGGATTGCTTCAGGAGGCAAAGTCCTCGCATGCCAAGGGTTAGGACAAAAATGATCATGATGCTAGTGAGTGTACATGGGCATGACAAGCCGGGCAATCCCAGAGGACCCATTCCCAGACAAAGAGCTCTTTTCGCAAATGCTGGCATCCCTGCTGCGCAAGGACATGAATCCTGCCATGTGGCAACACATCAACATTCTGAAGATTGAGCGCGTGGAGACCGGAATGCAGGAGGACGGCAGTGCGGAGCCGTACTATAAGGCCAGTATAGTTTTCCGTCATCTGAGCTGGAAGTTTTGTGACAGTCGTGCGGCTTCATCCTTGGACGGACCTTGAGGCATTGCAGCGTGGCGTGGAGAATCAAGGTGTGCCGTTCGTACCAGGATTGCACACGCGCTGGGTTTTCCATGGCTCCAGCGCAGTGGATCCACAGAGAAATTAACTAGCTTTCTGGTGACAGGATTTTTCAGAAGCTTTAAAGTTCTGAGGGCTGCTTCCAGCTTTTGGAGGAGTGTGTAAGCGCGTGCAAGCTCAAGCCTTGCTCGGAGGCCAACCAGACTTGAGCAGACTAGGCTGTAGTCCTTATGATCGGTGTCTCTATTGCGTCGCCCCGTTCTCCATCTGGTGGAGAGCTCGAGCTCCAAGGATTCCATCGTCTCCAATCCCATCTCAGGCACGGGGCAAGCAACCGGGCTACTCGGGCTATGGCGCATTGGCAGCATGATGGCGTCGGGGGGCTGTGCTGGCCTGTTCGACAGGCTTCCAGCCGCTGATGTCTGGAACTCGAGGAAATGCCCTCTGGGGTTCCGGTACATACTTTGCTCGCGATGCCAAGCAACTTGCCTGCTGGTTCATAGATTTCATAGGGTTGGTGAACCTTCGCGACACAGCTTCCGTCATGTGTGTTGTCACTTCACTGTACGATGCGCGCCGCACTGCTAGAGGTATGTTTATGATGGTGGCTTCTGCAGTCCCGGAGTGGATGGAAGCAGGCAGATATTGCTTCTTTGCAGCAGTTGCAAAGCTAGCAAAGGCAGCACAGGCAGTGCCATCAACTTGGAGCGGAAAGAACAGACCAAGGCTTTGCTTGCTCATGAATGGATTCGTTTGCCTCGGAGGCTCCGCTCCTCCCAAAGCTCTTGATTTCCTTGTCTGTAGCTTCCGCTTCTGGCACACAAGTTCTGACAGATTCGGAGCACAAGGGCGTGCTCCCGTTCCGTCAAGGTCGTCACCGGAGCCTCTTTAGCACCGAGATTTCGCTGTGACGTTGTCGGTTGGGGAGTCCTGCAGCTCTCCTGCATCTCCGGCTCTCAAGGTACAATGCGTCAGTCGATAGCCTCTCTAATCCAGAGATTTTCGTTCGGCACTCAACGCATGCTTTGGGGGTCATCGCAAGTGGATAGTTCACGGACGTGCGCAAAAATGATGTTGAGGTGACGCAGTCGCCCGGTGCCGCATATCCTGCTTACGTCATTACATTTTCCTAGGTTGCAGCGGTGCAAGTGACGCCTCATTGTTTGCACATGCTAGCTGAAGTTCTTCCGGACGCCGTTGTGATCCAGTCGCTGGCGCTGTGGTAGGAGTTAAATTCGCGTTTTGCTTACAGAGTCGTTGTTTTGTGGGTCTAGCTTGGACGGTACATTCGCCACTTGGCCACAAGCTGCCGGCACGAGTTCCGTCACCAGGCTGGAGCCGGTCTTTAGTGCGCAGGCATAGAAAGCCTGCGCAAGACGAAGTTTAGAGGGTGATGAGGAGCTCACAAACGTGAACACTCAGCATGTCCCGGCCTCATTGTACAGAAGCTCCAGAACTGGAGCCAAGCACACGAGTTGAGTGCCGAGCCAGGCAGAAGAAGGGATTGGCCGGGTCAAGCACCGAAGCTACTGGCTGCGCACTTGAAAGTGAATCAGCTAAGGTGCGTACCCGGGGTACGCGTCTTCGCGCAGGCGAGCGGTTTGGCTGTTTTCAATCGGCTTGTCTTTGTTTGTGCATGTGCAATATTCCACTTTGGATACAACCCTGCTCGTTGTTGGGCTCAGCAGCTCGGCATGTCCCGACCTTGCTTCCGTCCTGTTGACCATGTATGCGATTGGTAACTAGTGACCCGTGGCCTAAGACCTAAGATGAACCGAAGTCAAGACAACATAATCCCCGAAAGGCTTGCACACGCTCATGTCGAACTGCTGGGCATGGGGCGTGCAGCAGCGGCTGGCAAGTTCACCTTGTGCACCGCTTGTAACGCAGTACGTGAGCTGCTGCCGGCAGGCCGTTGCTCCCACATGCACACGTCAGTCAGGAAGCACACCACCCAGGAACCACACTTTTTTCAACAGCTCTCCATCTTCAACAGAAAAGCGAACCAACAGATGGACTCAAGCATGCAAGTTCTTTGAACGTGCTGCGATGGCACAAGGCCGGATGGGATGCTCGCGAGAGACTGGACCAGAAATTCGCAGTTCCAGATGGAGGCATGTTGCTGAGCGTCGGTTTGCACATCGTGTATTGCATAGCCGCATAGTGATGCAAACCGCATGCCGAGTCATGCATGCAGAATGTAAATGCTGCGTAATAGCAGGATGACATCGGTGGAGAAATCATAATTCGGAAAGGCACCTGCCGCTGTTGATGTATTGCTGCCACGGCAGGGGCTGAGGCCTTGCCGTGCGAGGGTGAACTCACGGAATTGAGGCCGGCCGGCTGATAGACGCCACGCGGGCTGCGCGCGCGCACGCGGATATCTTCTTGAGAGACAGCGTGGGAAGTCTTGAGGCGCTGCTTGCCCACAGCGCTGTTGGGCGGCAAGGGCAGGCCGTTTGAGGCCTGCGAGCGTGATTTTCGTGCGGTGGCGTGGCGCACAGCTGGCTTCTGCAATTCTGCGCCGATTCGTATCACTGCAACGTCCGTGATTGCAGTTCGGATTGAGGCCATGCTTCCCGCAGATGACGGCGAAAGTGAGAAGGCTCACAATGTGTCCTGTCCTTATGTGCGTCTGTCCGCTTGAACGCATCCTGGTTGTCACCATGGGGCTCTGGCTGCACTGCCTGGTTCGTCGCATCAGGTTGAGGCGTGGCTGGGCTTGCTTGAGACGGGCGTTTCAGCAGCCGGTGGACCAGTCGAATGCTCAAAACCTCAAGCAGCAGACAGGCAGCCAGGCAAAGTTGTCGGGCAGACCAGGCTTGTGGCCCAGACTGCTGCCGTGGGTGAGCCAGACACTCAGAACAGTGGTAGCTTGCGGTTGCATAAGGCACGCAAAGGGCGGAGACATTGTGCTTTCAGCAGGTGCCGTCCTGCAATTCCAGTAAAGAACGCCGCGGGCAAAGGGCATTGGACATCCTAGACGCTGCCAAAGAGCTTTCTTCGCCGCTTGTGGAGAAGATGAGAAGCAGGAGTTGTCACACAGCTCGGCCACATTCGGCCACAGCAGTGGAAGGCATTCCACACTTGATGCATTTTGATTCAGGCACGGCGCTTCGAACAGTTCGACCTCCTGTCCAACATCCGCTGTGCCCGGACTCCTTGCTGTGTCGGGTAGATTCCTTCCTCCTTTTTCAAGCATTTGGGAGACTCCTTTGCTCCAGTTCTTTGTGTCCAGACCGGGCTCCATCGTATCTCCGCTCTCGTCGCTCGCAGCGCGGGCCTCATGGGTCTGATGGTGCAGACCACATGGACAGATGCGCCAGCCCTTCGGTGAAAGCATCTTCAGTTGAGGAGTTCGGTCAGTAGCCTTCCAGCCGCGCATCGTCGCAACACCGCTTGAGGGCAACGAGTCCAGCTGTTTCCCAATGGCCCAATAGCGCTGAGGACTACTTCTGCACCATCGCCGGGTTCCCAGCGAGGAGCAGCCATGCTTGTGAACGAATCGTTGTGGGAATGTTTGGCAGCACCATAAGGCTTCATGCAGGGGTGGGCGGGCAGGGGGGGGGGGGTGGTTGGGCTTATCCTGTCTTTATCCCTTCTCTTGGTCCCCGTCCCTCGGACGATCCAGGTTTATCCCACATGCATCCTACGCCTGCAGAACTAGCTAGCCCTGCCGGCAATCCAGAATTATCTCAAAACTATCCATTCTTATACCGAAAGCGTCGAAGGTCCCAGGCTCACTTGTTGCTATGTGCAAGGCAGGATCAGTCTTTACCCTCCCCACCCACCCCCCCGGCGATCTGTGAATTTCAGTACAAACCTGATCAACCTGATTATCAACAACCTCTTTGGAAGGATTATGCGAGATTGCCGAGGTGTCCGATGCATTTGGCGAAGCGCCAGATCGGAAGCCGTTGTGCGAAACGGCATGGAGCTGATGTTCTCACGAGAGCCGGCAATTTGTGGCATCATTGGATCTAACATGCTCTGACGGTCCAGATGGGCCTCAATGCTTCGTGGCTGTAGAGGAAGCCGGCTTGTCCATGCCTGCTCCCTTGCCAAGCCGAAGCCCTGGGCGGACCATCGGTGAAAGTTTTTGATTCGAGAGAGAAAGTACCTCGAGGCTGCCAAGAGTGCGGCGTTGCTGCCTCAGTCATCCTTCTATGCTGGACTGGTCGAACACTTGCTCAGTGTTGCTTGCATGTGGAGGCAGAGGCTGGAGGTTATGGCGCTGGCTTCGGCACGGGGATCTTCGCTGAAAGCGCGTCCGGCCAAAAGCTCTAGTGGGTGGGGGGAGGGGGTTTTGCAACACGAGATGACCTCCTCCGGCAGGCTTGTACTGCAGCCAGTGCTGGAAGAAGTGGTACCAAGTTACTTGAGAAGCGGCAGGTGCGCTTGACCGATGTTTCTTCAAGGACGTGATTGCTATAGTCGGATTGTCGGCTTAGGCAGAGCTGCGGAGAAGACTTGGACCTTGGAGGGTCGTCGCAACCGACGCGAAGTTCATGTTTGGAATCTAGCATGAGCGACACTTGGATGGATCGCGGGCAAAAGCATGCTTGACAGAATGGCGTGTTAGGAAGGTCACCTCCAGGTGAGGTGATAACAGGTTTGATCCTGTGAAGGAGAAGCCCTGAGCTGGATGGGTGGAGTTGACAAGGGTCTGGCGGTAATTGCAGTTGGTGGGCTTCGAACACCGGTGACATGCCATCAGAAATCGACTGATTCATTACGCGCATGCAGGCATGTATCATCGAGCACCGACATGCTTTTGGGCTCTGGGCTCGAGATTCGGTTGAAAGGCCGTAACTTTACTTTGCGAGTAGTCCAGGCAACAGATATTCAGGATGGGCTTCACGAGCCACCACAAGACGCACAGCCAGCAGGGACGCGGCATACTGTAGACATGGCCGGGGGCTGGCATCCGAGCAGCAGTGATGCAATAGACCCCGTAGCAAAATGAGATGGCTTTCACACTGGAGCACGTGGCCATTGCTTGTGGTGCCAGTGGGGTGATTGCCGGCATCGTGAGCTTCGGCTTTCTGGGCATCGTGCTGTGCCTTGCCTTTCATGGAGGTTTTCCTCGGGAGCCGGGGTGCGGAAGGCACGCTTGTATCGGTACCCTGCGCAGGTGCTTTGCACATGTTCTCTGGCTGCACAAAATTGGTGGAACAATGCTTCACCTTGCCAAAAGCTCACGCCATGAGTCATTAGACGCGAGAACGCCCGGCTGCCTCTGCGAGGAGAGCGGTGGTTCGGCCGCCGTAAATCGTCTGCCGCCGCTGGCACTGTCCGCCTTGCTGTCGAGTGGCGCGATGATTGGGCCGAGGCCTCGGTAAGTTGCCGGAGTTACTTGCAACTGCTGGAGATGTTGACTGCTACTGCTTATGCTGCCGCTCCTCCTGCGACGATGACGAGAGGACGACGGGAGAGGAGGCGGCGATGATGCCGATGGCGACGGCGACGGCGACGACGACGACGACCGCCAGCAGCCACTGAAGCCACTGCCGCGGCCGGCGCCACCAGGGATAGGGGTTTAACAAATTAAATAAGGACCAAAAAAGTAAATAAGGATCAAACAAATTAGCCCACGTAGTAGTAGGTTTTGCCTAGGATTTTAATGGGATTGTGATATTTATTTTTGTGATCCTTAAGCCTAGAGAAGGAGGGCAAGAACAAGACAGAACGAACGAAAGAAAGAAAGAACAACGAAATAAATAAATACATAAAGAAAGAATGCATATCTAAATAAATAATGAAAGAACCAAAGAACGAAATAAACAAAGAAATAAAGAAATAAAGAAAGAAAGAAAGAAAGAAAGAAAGACAGAATAAGGGAAGACAGGAAGAAGGGAGTAAAGGAAGAAAGAAAGAAAGAAAGAAAGAAAGAAAGAAAGAAAGAAAGAAAGAAAGAAAGAAAGGAAGAACGAAAGAAAGACGAAACAGAGATAACACCAAAAACAAGACAGACAAAGAGACAGACGGACAGAACGAATGACAGACATGAGTACAAAAAAGGAAAGAAAGAACGAACTAAAGAAATCAGGCGATAAATGCAGAAAGGACGCCAGGCACAGAACGACAGACACGAAGACCGCCGAGGGAAACAAAACCCGAAAGAAAGGCAGGAAGAACAAAACAGGAGAAAGCTTCAATTAATTTAAGGGGCTGCGCCCAGAGTCGGGCAACGCAGGCAGTTCATTCATTCATGCATT